TCAAAAGGTCTATTAAAAGTCTCCACCATATCTTGTTCAGCCACCTTCATAAAAGAATTGTAATTAATTAATAAAAATTTTAAAAATTAAAATTAAGGTAAATAGTTATTTTTAAAATATGAGAATAATATAAAAATATACATATAACAAATGAAAGATACTACCTTTGCATCAAAATGAAGTCGATCGAGACCAAGATAATTTTCAACATCATAGGCAGCGAAATGCTTACAACACGCAGAAACTTTGAGAGGTCTAGAATTTGGATCGCTGCTGTTATCTTGTCCTTCAATATCTTGCAAGCCTCTTACATAGTTAACTGCATACAGTCCAACAACAAAAGGGTCTTCTCCTGGTGTCTCCAGAGTTCTTCCCCATCTAGGATCTCTCACTACATTGATGTTAGGACTCCAAAATGTCAAACCCGCTCGTCCTAAATTATACATGGCTCTTGCTTCTGTTGAAACAACCTGCATGTTCAATTATTTATATATAATGCATGTCAGATATATAAAGATTCTAATTTATTGAACTAGAAAAGAAATAGAGAAAGAATATATATATAGATATATATATATTGAGTAATACAAATAATAGTCATTTGATTCGTAAGTAAAATAAAATTTTTACCTGGCCGATGGTTTTCCAAAGTGTCTGATTGAAGGATGCGGTGGTAAGTATAACAGTTGGAAAACTTGTTGCACTAGGAACAACCGAGTCAAACTTAGTGGAGCGTCCAGTATCAGCCACGCCATGTAGTGCCTCGGACCACCATTTGTATGGTGGTAATCCAATCCTTGGGATACCAACACTGGTGTTGTCTCCCATTTGCTCGGCCTTCTCAACCAAGCTCATACGATCCACCAGGTCCTTGGCCCTGACACCATATGGAAGAGATTTATCACAATATGCAAACTCATCCATATCCAACCCAAGCATTTCGAATCGAGCGGGGTCACAAACATGACTGAACTTAGGTAGTCCATCCTCAGCAAGACTTACATCTAGATTTGAAAAAACAATTGAGAAACAAAGAATAATGTGAGAAAGGAGAAGCATAAACAAAGTTTTATTAGCCATTGTTATGCTGTCTGCTATTGTTATCAAAGTAGACAAAAGGACTCCCATATTTATACTCGTGTATTGCTATTCAAAAACAGATCATTGTTGAGAATATTTGTTGATTTAGAAGAGATATGCTGATTACATGATTGTTGAGATTATTTGTTGATTTGGATTGTGATATGTTAATCATTTCAAATGTTTTTCAGTTGAAGATTCTTTGAAAATCATTTAGTTAAGGTTTCCATATGCAGCAAGTTGCTAGATTTGTGACCAGGTCTTGTGTATTTGACCTCATATGAGCAATACTTTTTTATAGATTAAAATTAATAATTTGAAATATCTTCGTACATAACAATAGATTGATATTGAAGTTTGACATTAACTCACACCTAATAAAAATTCTCCCAATCTAAAGTTAAAAAAAAAAGAAGAAGCTGAATGTGAATAAAGGCCTCAAATAATTTAATGTAATATAAGAACATACCAAGACGACATGATTAACTTTAGTCAATGTATGAAAGGAAAGAGACATTAATGAAAAGGTGACATCTAACTACAAGTCATAATTTTAAATATTTGTTGAGATTATTTGGATCCAATTATATAGCAATGGTTTATAATATATTTGACGATAATAATAGATTAAGATTTTTTGAAACATTTAAGTATAGCTAGCCAATTCAAATAGTAGTCATACATAAAAAGAATAAAACGTCTTGTAATCTTTTATTCACTCAAATAGTCATTTGTCCTTTCCCTAACCTAAAAAAAATTAATAAAATAAATCATAGTCTTACTAAATCATTGAACAAAATTATTTAATCCTACATTCTTATAGATTATAAGTAACTTTTACGGGAATCGATATTACATTATCTCCCACTATAATTTTATGGGAACCAGATGGCAAAAGTCTATAACCCGAGACATCAACAATGTTCAAGCTCTGACAAACATTAAGCACAAACTTGACATTCTTGCTCTCGTTTGCTTGTAAATAAACCCTTTCAAATCCAACCAATTGCTTGATATGAGTTCCAGTGACTTCTTCCGGAGGGACTGAGTATACCAAAACAACATCACTTCCATCTCTCTGCCCAACATTCTGTACTGTGATTTCAAAAGCAATTTCATCATTACATGTTAAATCATCAATCGAAACTGAAGGACAATCTTGCTTGTAATTTGTATCATTATAAGGCAAGTCGTGGCAATGAAGGAGTCTGTCCAATTTCATGTCAAGAGACATCTCTGTAGAATTGTACTCGTATTTGAAGCTTGTATAACTTAATCCATAACCAAAAGGATAAATTGTTGTGCCATTGAAGAACTTGTAGGTTCTTCCAGGATACTTTCCAACTGGCCTTAAAGACATGGATGTCATTGGGAATTTATCAACATAATTAGCCTCGTACCATGTAAGTGGCAGCCTCCCTCCTGATGAATGCAAATGAATGTAAGTTAGAAATTAAGGATTCGAATAGAAGATGATAAGTTAATTTTAAAGTATTAGGCCAAAGAATAAGAAAATGACAAATACCAGGATTGTAGTTTCCGAAAACAACATCAGCAATAGCACGACCACCTTGTTCACCAGGATATCCAGCCCATAAGATGGATTTGATTTTGGGGTTGATTTTAGCAAAAGAAATATCAAGTGCAGTGGCAGACATGACGACAAGAATAACTGGGCCTTTTGAAGCCTCAGCAACTTTATTAACTAGATGAGTTTGATAACCAGGAAGGAGAAGATTATCTCGATCACGCGATTCAGCCTCTATGTCTAAATTTAAGCCGATAAAAAGTAAAGTAGCATCTGCATTTTTGGCGACATCGACGGCTGATTGCACTGTGGTATAATTCGAGCATTTCACATCACATCCCAATTCATAAGTCACTTGTCCTAATGAGGAAAAAGCCTCAAGTGGAGAAATGAACTTGCATGGAATACCTACATACGCATTGAAAAATATATATCTTTAATTAGTTAATTATAACTAATAAATATAAAAGATTTGCTAAGGAACAATAATTACCTGCGTAATTTCCTTTCATTACTTCAGTCGCATTGGCATGTGGCCCAATTAGTGCTAGAGATTTAAACTTTGCAGGGTCTAATGGCAAAGTTTCATTATCATTCTGAAGAAGCACAATCCCTTGTCTAGCTGCTTCAGCTGCTAATTCAGTGTTTTCTTCTGAACATATGTCCTTTTTGCCAAGCGATGCCAAGGACGGAATTCCATCAAAAAATCCTAGCCTCATCAGTACTACATAAAGGTAATTGAGCGCCTTGTCCATATCAGCCTCTCCAACTTTTCCTTGCTTCACTGCGTTTACAAGACTTTTGTAGGAATCTCCACAATCCAAATCCAAACCTAATTCATAATTAAAAATTTCAATTAGTAATCTTTAAAAATGCATGCATGCATTAAAAGTGATAGATAGGGATACAAGCCTGCTTTTAGCACTTGAGCCGAAGCTTCCTCCACTGTGTCATTAAGCCATTTTTGTCTTTCCACAATTTCTTTGATAGAATCACAATCTGATACTACATACCTGAAAAATGAAAATATCATAATGAAAGGCAATAAAATCAAACATATGTTTAAGTTATTGAAATAGGTATCATTGCATATATACCCATGCAAATTCCAGTCTTCTCTGACCAATTTTTTCAAAAGATAGGAATCAGCACAAGTTGGAATGCTATTAACACGATTATAAGAGCACATAACACTGCTAACATCACCATCTTTGACACACATCTCAAAAGGTCTATTAAAAGTCTCTACCATATCTTGTTCAGCCACCTTCAATTAAAAATTAACTTAATTAGTTATTTTTTTAAATATGAAAATCATATAAATATAACAAATGAAAGTTACCACCTTTGCATCAAAACGATATCGATCAAGACCATCATGATCATCAAGATCATAAGCAGCAAAATGCTTACAACATGCAGAAACTTTGAGAGGCCTA